AGATGCAGATTGCCTAACTGAGCTCTCGGGGTGGTTGAGAGCCCAACTGTGTTGATGAATTTACTGTAATTTTAAACTATAAAATAATACAACGGATGGAGAGATGGCTCAGTGCTTAAGAGAACTGGCTGCTCTTTCAGAGAGAGAGGATCAGGGTTAGGTCGCCAGCGCCCACATGGCAGGCAGTCCTCCTCCAGTTCCAGGGGATCCAGTGCCCTCTCTTAAACTCTGCAGACACTGTGTGTACATACTGATCAGACACACATGCAGACAAACACATACACATAAAACAAAACAAATAAATCTTTAAAACTTACATGAAAATTTTGGGAAAAATAAGAAAAAGTATCCACTATTTCACACTAACATATCTTAATCTTCTGTATTCCTTTCCCACCCAGCCCTTAAACATACTTTAAAAAAACATAATCTATACTCTTCCATCTTGAATACCAAGCAACACGAACAGTTTTTATCGATTTGTTTAAGCATCAATATTTACATAAAAAATAATGAATGTGTGTTTTTGCATCAGTATGTTCACAGGGGAGTTTGGAGGACTCATTGGTAAACTGCATTGGCAAATATTTGTTGAACTTTTGCTCACACACAGAAAGCACAGTAACCTTCTGGATTCTTTGGAGATATAGTCATGAATAAGGCATATTTTTGGCCTTGAGGATTCATAATCTCCTAACTACCATGTCCCTCAGATATGACTAAAATACAGTCTGTGGAATCAAGAGTAAGGGTGATCTGGGTATTTCAGAATATAAGCATAGTGTTTTAAAATGTTTACTGTGAGAGTTGGGAGCTTGGTCGTTGGCTCCCCAGTACCCATGTAAAAGCTTGTAGTCAAAGTGCTGAGTAGGCAGAGCCCTGGGGCTTGTCAGTCTAGCCAGTCTAGACTTCATTAATTAAAGTTAACAAGTTTGAATGGAAGTACTCTTTATGGATGGATATGGTACTCCGAGCAGCCATAGATCTTTAAGCAAAACTCCCATTGTCAGGTGCAGGCTCTCTCCCTGTGAGCCATTGTCCAGGGAGCCACAGAGGCTCCAGAACAATGGGGGTGCCATCGCATTGTACTGCTTTTGATCACCCACCCACTACACTGCTAAAGACACCGCACACTTAGGATGTAGAACACAGGGCAATCAAGCTGGAACAGAGCTAGCAGCTTCCTGCCTCCTGGCTAGCAAAGGGTCATGAGGTGCCATGCTGGCTGCTAAGAATATTCACCAAGAGGCTGGAGTAATAGCTCAGTGGTTAAGAGCACAGGCTGCTTATCCAGAGGACCTGAGTTCAATTCCCAGCACCTACATAGTAGCTTACAGTGGCCTGTAACTCCAGCTCCAGGAGAATTCAACACTTCCATACAGACATACATGCAGGTAAAACACCATTTTAAAAAATAAAAAAAAAAAGAAAACTCATCATGTATTCCTCAGCTCCATGTTCTGTGAGAGAAACTGACTCAAAGCAAAAGAAAACACAAAAATAATAGAATATGTTGGGAATGAATAGTGGGAGATACCACTTTGACCTCCACACACATGTGTAAACATATCATTATTGTGTAGCAGTTTCCTCCAACATTATAACCTGTCTTAAGATACAGTGTGTTGCAGAGTAATAGTATAGCACGCCTTTAATCTTAGCACTTGGAAGGTAGAGACAGGCGATCTCTATGAGTTTGAGACTAGCGTGGTCTAGTGAGCAAGTTCCAGAACAGCCTCCAAAGCTACAAAGAAACCCTGTCTCAAAAAACATTAAAAAAAAAAAAAAAAGATACAGCATGTTAAGATGGGGCAGTGATGGTGCATCCCTTTAATCCCGGCACTCCAGAGGCAGAGGCAGGCAAATCTCCCTGAGTTTGAGGCCAGCCTGGTCTACAGAGTGAGTTCCAGGACAGCCAGGACCGTTACACAGAGAAACCATGTCTTGAAAAACCAAAACCGACCAACCAACCAACCAAAACCAAAAGACACGGAATGTCAAAACAGAGTTGAAGTAACTGTATATTTTAAGGGAAGGTGAATAGTTCCATTCTACCCACTGCGGTGCCAAATATCACACTGAGACACTGTATTTGATATAATGTTGTTGGCCAGGTACTTGTTTCTTATGGGCTAGCTCTGTCTTAAATATTAACCCATTCCTATCAATCTAAGTATTTCCATGTGGTCTCATCTTACCGGAGAGCAGGCTGGTGTTCTGCTCTCTCCAGTCTCCCCATGCTGACTCCTCCTTATTACTTCCTCTCTCCTTCTCTCCTAGTCCCACCTATCTTGCTTTCCTACTGGCCAACAGTGCTTTATTCATTAACCAGTATGAGAAACATATTTACAGAATGACATCTCCCATCATAAACTGATTAAGCTCAGGAGGTAAATATTTCAACGTCTTCAGGACGTTCTTGAAACCAACCAGATTCACTAGGCCCCTCCCTTCCCAAGCATATATAGGCAGTAAGGCCTGCAGAGCTGCCTAGAAGAGGCATGGACCCAGTGAGCTGCAGGGAAGAACATTCTCCCCTGTTGAACTGCCTAGAGATTGTGCAGTGCATTCCAGGTTTCTGTTACTCATACTCATTCCAGATGGGTTTTGGTGATATGGGTAGCTGTCTTTGAGTCATTGCTGTTCCTGTAACTTCACCCATGCTCCCATAAGTAACCCCAATAAAACCCATTTGGTGTGGTAATATATTATTTATGATTTATTAAAGCTTGCCTGAGAATTCAGAAAACAAAGTCAGCATACAAACCAGGTGCACACCTTTAACCCCAGGACTCAGGATTAAGAGGTAGACAGATTTCTATTCAGTCAAGGCCACTGGCTATAAGAAATTGATCCAGTGTTAAGAGAAAACAGCTCACAGAAAACAAAGTTGCTCTCAGCACTTGGTATCACACGCCTTCAATCCCAGCACTAGAGAGGTACAGAAGATAGGAGCAGGGTCTTCAGTAGGCTCAGTCTTGGGATTCTCTCCAGCCACACTGAGGAGAGGCAGCAGTCTGAGGCTTGGTGAGAGCTTCTGGATCAGCCCTTTCAGCCTGAGGTAGAGGTGAGAGCTAGTGGTCAGCTGCTTTGCTTTTCTGATCTTCAGCTTGAAACTTGAACCCCACCCAATATCAGTCTCTGGATCTTTTATTTTTCGTGTTACAAATTGGTTTACCAAGTTGGATTTGGGTGGATGTTTGGTCTCTGCTTGGCTTCCAGTCTGAGAGGAGTAAGTTTTTGTTCAGGTCTCCCCAGGAATGGCACCATGCAACAATACACAAAAGTTTATTGCATTTTTAAGGTTTTAATTCTTGCCTTTTAAAATCTTATTTTTAAGTATGTATTGCTTCTCAAATTTGCGTGTCTTCTTTGCACAGGGGCCATGTTAATTTCTGTCTCATTTCAATTTTAGTATATGGGCTGCCAAATTTCAATGATAATCTATATGTGCGTATGCCTGTTTTATGTACAGATGTACAGGTGCCCACGGGCACTAGAAGATAGTGTTGGATCCCCTAGAACTGGGATTTAGTCATTTATGAGCTACCTAATCTGGGTGCTTGGAACTGAACCCAAGTCCTCTGCAAGAGCAGCTAATGCTTGGTTTTTGTTTGTTTGTTTGTTTCTGTGGCTTTGGAAGCCATCCTGGAACTAGCTCATGTAGATCAGGGTGGCCTCGAACTCACAGAGATTCCACCTGCCTCTGCCTCCCAAGTGCTGGGATCAAAGGCATGCACCACCACCGCCAGGCGCAGCTAGTGCTCTTAACCACTGAGCCATCTTTTCCACGCCTACTTTTTACTTTATATGTTTATGTGTCTATCAGAGTGTGGTTTTGTACAAGTGAGTGCAGTGCCCACAGAGGACAGAATAGGGAATTGGATCCCCTGGAGCTGGAGTTAATGTGGTTTATGAGCCCTTTGACATGGATACCAGGAATCAAACGTGGGTCCTCTATAAGACCAGTATGTATACTTTTAACCACTGAGCCATCACTCCATCCCCCAAGTTTACTCCCCTCCCTAAGGAGAGGGGTGGGAGTACAGAAGAGGGTGGGGTAAATAACAAGGCACTGAAAGGTGGAGAAGCAGTAAGCAGGGCTTCTAACTGACAGCAACTCTTTGAAGGTGGTAAGTTAAAACACTGGAAACCAGGGGCTGGAGGGATGGATGACTCAGTTGGTAAGTGCACTTGCTGCCTTTGTAGAGCACCAGAATTCAGTTTCTAACCCCATGTGGCTGCTCACAGCCGTCTGCAACTCATTTCAGAGGATCTTATACCAAGGCATCAGACATACATATGTTACACGTACACACATGGAGGTACACATACAAATCTTTCAAAAAGAAAATGCTGGAAATGGGCATTTAAACATTCATGTTCCTTTAAAAGGAGATACCAAAAGCAATTCACATTTTGCTAAAAATGCGCTATTACCCCCTTCAACCCTGTCCACATAGTAGAGGGTAGACTATAGCAAGACTGCCTATAGAAATTTTTTTTTTATCACAGAGGTCCTGGGCACTCCGGGGAGGGGGGGGCTTCACAGGTCCCAGGCTAGACCACAAATTCAAGAGCGGACCTAAGTGTTCCAAGGTACCACGCCCCTAAATAGTCTGCAGCCTCTTCCATTTCAGATTCTTTCCGGGGTTCTGGGTCAACCATCCTCAGTGAAGAGTCTACCCTATGTGACACCTCGATCCCACAATGCTTGCTCCTCTCCTGGGCAATCGGTAGATTCAGCCACTACCCGCCCACCGCGAGGCCCCGCCTCCGAGCCGCCCTCAGCCCGAGATGCCCAATGAGCGGTCTTCCTCGCAGTGAGGCTCAGGACTCCGCCCTCCGGCAAGCCGTCCCGCCCCACAGGCAGCGTTAACCAATGGGGGCCCCCTCCCTCCCTGGGGGTCCACCCTCCCAGGCCCCGCCCCCAGGGTGCCTCCCCTCCGGGGCGTGGCCTCCGCCGCGCCTCCGCCGCGCGCGCGGAGCCCGATGCCGCCCCCTCCGCCGGTCCCTCCCCCGGCGGCCTGGCGCCTCCCTCCCTCCCCGCCGCGGTGACTCACGGAGAGGCGGAGGCTGAGGCGGCCGCTCCTGCTGCTGCTGCCGCCGCCGCGGCTGCTGCTCCGGCTGAGCGCGCCCCGGAACAGGCCGCCGCGCTCCGGACCCGCAGCCCCCGGCGCTGCGCGCTCGGGCGGCCCAGGTAAGCGCGAGGCCGAGCCGCGATCGCCCCACGGGGTCGACGCGGCGCCGGGGCACGGGGGAGCCGCCGGCCCTTTGTCTCCCGGGGAGGGGCAGCGGAAGGCACCTTCGACCCCGCCGGGACCCACCGGGCCGGCCCCATTGGCGCGATGCCCTGGGCCTGGACCCACGGTCCCCACCCCGCCCGGCGCTGCCGCAGACCACCCTGCTGCCTTCTTCCCCTTTCCCTTGGGGTTCTCCTCCACAGGTGTCCCAGTTGCTCACCCTCTGGGCCCGTGTGCTTGACATCGCCTGTCCACCTTCCTGGTTCCATTGACCCGTCTCTTCTATACCTCACCTACACCCCTCTCTCAGCATCCTGACTCTCCTTGTGTCCCTTACTAGATGCTGCCAAGGTCTGTCTGGATGCCCAGCCGCCCTTCCTCCCTCTCTAGGTTGAATGCACTGTCCGCTCCCCCAGTTCCACCTCTCCTGGTGTTTTTGGGAGGTATTTATGAGAGACGCATGTCTCGTCTTCGTAGGGTGCTTGTTAACATGAACCTGCAAGTTAACCACTTGGACCTCCAAACTGCACTTAAACCTTCCTTTCTGTCACCGCCATCAACGTTGCGCTCCCCTTTTCCTTGATCCTGGAGCTCCGGACACCCTACCTCCGTAGGCCCTGCAGCCCTAGGTTGCTCCGGGTATGGAACTTGTCTGAGCAGAATCTCTGTCTGGTTGGCTTATGGGAAGGCCCAGGGGTATCACGTTGAGCACAAACCAAGAGTTTTATGAATAATGAGACGTGTGGCTTGCAGTACTTCCTATCTGAGGATCTCACTATGCCCTAGCTGTTAATTATTTTGTCTCCTGTCACAGATCTCAAAGCAGCATGCCTCGATGACTGCTGGGTACATTGAGGCACAGACTATTGGTGTGGGCTCTGGAGGCAAGTCCGTATTTCTTGAGGTTTCCTTCTCAAGTGGCTTGGCTTCTGGCTCCCTGCTACAACCACTGGGCTCTTGTCCCTGGCTGGAAACCCCGTGATAACTGATCTCTTTTGCCATTAACGTGTCCAGAGACGCCAGCATTTCCTTGGATTCAAAGCAGGACTTTGAATCACAAATAAAGGTGCCAACTGTTAAATGCCAGTGTGTCACCCGTGGCTTCCTGGTAGAGTCAGTGTGGTCCATGTGGACAGAGAGCACTTCAGTGACATGGAGATTCATTCATGAACTCTGTGCTCTGCAGCTTACACTATCCTTGCCTTCTGGGTGATGATATTATATTCCAAGGAGGCAAGAGGACAGAAGCAGATGAATCCATTTGTGGATAAGAACTGTTTCTGCAGGGTTAGGTGCTGTGAAGGGGCCAGAGCACTAGGAACCCATAACCTGGATGTGGTGGCAGAGCATTTGGGGGGTGTCAGCAGGAAGAGTGTGAGCTCAAGGTCAGCCTGGGCCTCATGAGACCCTCTCAGAGAGGTGGGAGAGAAAGGGGGAATCTGTAGCTTAAACGAATATATTTTGTAGGCTGAAGTACATTATCCAAAGAGCTAGAAGCCATTAGAGTCTGTTAACCAGAAAGATATTAAGCTAGGATCTAAGTTTTAAAAGATTGTTCTGGAGACAGGATTGTGGGGAGTGGAGGTGGAGGAAAAGGCACCAGTTGACTGGAAATTGCCCAGCTAGAGATGGTGGGGTTTTCGAATCTGGGTGACGGTAGCTGAAGGAAGGACAGTCTGTGTGTGTGTGTGTGTGTGTGTGTGTGTGTGTGTGTGTGTGTGTGTGTGTGTCCCACTACTGGATGCAGGGAGCTGGGAAGCAAACTCCTAGCTAGGAGCAGCACCTAAAAGTCCCACATAGCCTAGAGAACATCTCCATCTGACTTTTCTCAAGTCAGGTACTGTGTTAGACTCACACGGGTGAGACGTGACCCCTGTCTTTGGGTTTGCAGGCTGGTGGACCTCCTGGCTTAACTCAGAGCAGACTCCATATTACAACAATGGACTCATAGGATCGGCTCCCCCCTCCGATGGAGGAGAGTCTATGGGTTTATAAATCAGAGGTGGAGGAGAGAGACTACACTGGGCTTCCTTCCCATGCCCTGCTGCATCGTTGAAATGGAAGCATTAGTGCCCTGCCTCTATTGTGAGATGTTGCACAAAGAAGCTGAAGGGGTGAAGAATGCAGCTCAGTTATAGGAAAATGTATGAGGCCCCGGGTTTGGTGTTCAGTTCCTCCACAGTTAAGAAATTTGTGTCTGAGCTGCCTGAGGCCAGGGCCTCCACTGCACCCATCGTGCGTCTTTCACAGTGCTTGAGGTCAGTGACCTGCACAAAGTGTAAAGGTTGACAGCCAGGAATCCTGCCCGTGCCCGTGTCTTTTTCCATGAGACCATGCTTCTTGTAGACCCCCTCCTCAGAGGTGTCTGGTGGAAACGCAGCAGGCTGCCCTTGACTGTGCTCCCTGGAAGGGCGGGTCTTCCTAGATGGGGCTGATCTCTGTCCAGCCCTGCCCCCCCCCCCAACAGCTGCCCAGGGTGCTGACCGTGTAGTTATTTAACACTCTGCAAATATGAAGTGTAGCTCTTTTAATTAGAGCACGGACTTTATACCGAGATGCTGGGCTTGGATCTTGGTTCTGCTGTGGTCGGCTCTGTGAGCTCCAGAGCATCATTAACCTCTCCATGTCTGAGCTTGCCCGTCTGCAATAGGGCTCCTCCTCTTGTAGAGTTGTTGAATGGGTTAAATTAATAGCACCTCTCCACTTAGTATTTGCTTCATTGACCTGCTAGCTGTTATTTCAATCTTAAAAGATTAGGGCTGGGAAAATGGGTAAAGTGTATGCCAGGCCATAGTAAGGACTGGAGTTCGGAACCCCAGAACCCACACAAATGCTGGGTGGGTGTGGTGGCCTGCTGGTAATTCCAGACTCAGAAGACAGGAAACCCCTAGAGTAACCCGGCTAGCAAGACTAGCCATGAGGAGGCTCTGGCCTTGATCGAGAGACCCTGCCTCAATAAATGAGCAATCAAAGATAATCCCAGACATTAACTTTGGGCTACCTCATGCATGTCTACACACATGTAACCCTCTGCACATGCAAAACATGCATGTACATGCACACACATACATGAAAATAGAAAATTAGTTAATTAGTATGTGTGTACAACACTTGGGAGTTGCTTCTCTTCTTCCCCTTTTATGTGGGTTCTGGGGTTGAACTCGGGTCACCAGGCTAGCCAGGCAAGTGCTTTCACCTGCCAAGCATCTCATCAACCCTGTTGTTTCATTTTTCTTCATATCTGTCTCTTACCTCCTGTGAGGGTTTAACCTCTTTGAGGAGAGACTTTGTCTGCTATTACAGTCCAGTTCAGCAGAAGCTTGGTAAATAATCGTTTAATTGAAGCTGAGCACCATGGCATACACATTTAATCCCAGCACTTGGGAGGGAGAGGCAGGAGGATTTCTGTGAGTTTGAGTCTGAGGCCAAGCAGGGAGGGCCACATAGTTGAGGCCCTGTCAAGAAAGTAAAGGGGTAAAGGTTACAGTTACAATGACCAGGCACTATTGTGTTGCAGATGTAGTCGAGATTCATGGTCTCATGAAACTTAGTTTTAAGATTTATTTACTTATTTAGTTTTGTTGGAGACTAAACTTTGGGCCTCAGATATGCAAGGCAGGTGCTTTCCTGCTCAACGACTGCCCAGCCCCAGTCTCCCAGTAGGTCCGCTTTGTAGCTCAGTGGTAGAGCATGTACTTAGTGTGCCTGAAGCCCAGGGTTCTATATCTAGCAATGAAGAATTAAAAAATTAAATCAATCAATCAGTAAGCAAGTGAACAAAAGAATGTAGGATGTTGAGCTGGGCATGACGTCATTCCAGGGAGGTCAGGGACTCAAGGCTGTCCTCAGTTATATGCATGAGACTTTGTCCTCGATAGAGAATGTAGGGCGTTGAGAGAATAACCCTGGCTGTGAGTCAGGACGCGTGTGAGGGTCTAGTTAGTTCTGAGGGGTGACTTTTGAAGATGTCCTGGTGAGGTAAAGAGACAGCTTTGTAGGCAGCAAAGGAGTGTGGTGAGCAGAGTCAGGCTGGACCTGTGGCGGCGGCAGGGATCTGGGTTTTCTCTTGGATTCTGGGCGGTGAGAAGCTGCTGCGCAGGACTTTTCCTGGAGCTCTCAGAAGAATGCATCCCTGGAGAAGGAGCAGGATGCTGGGAAGAATGTTAGGGTGGATGCTTCTTGTTCTGGCCAGCAAGGTCTGAGTGGATGACACTCGGGGAATCCAGGAGTCCTGGGTAGGTTGAGCAGGACCTGTGGACTCAACTGAGCTTTCTTCCCTCCTGGGATCTGTAAGTCAGCAAGCGCTGCCTGGCGCTGAGGCATTGGGTGAGCGTGTGGGTGAGCGTGGCCAGCCCTTAGCCCTTGCCCAACTCCAGCACCGGGACGTCTCATGGACTGTTTCAAGCTGTGTAAATTAATTGCCCCTCTCTCCCTCTTCTCTCTGTCCCCTTCTGCTTCCTCTTTATTATCATTGTTATTGCTATTATTAATTATTACTTTGCAGTGCTAGAGTCTAAGCCAGGCTCTTGCACATACTAGGCAAGTTTTACCCTGGAGCTGCACTCCTAGCCCCAAGCGTCTGATACATCATGATTGAATAGGTGTCTTTCCTGATTCCTCTTTGTTCCTAGACTCATGCCAAGTTATCAGCAGGCCTGCTGCATAGTCAGGCTCACTGTTGCCTCTAAGCACCTGCTGTCTTAGGACACAGTGATGTCTAGAAAGCACAGGCCTTCTTTGCTCTGGATGGTGCAGAATTGGAAACAGTGCAATCAGAGAAAAGTGGGCAGAGGCATGGCTCACTGGGAACAGAGCTGGCCTCTAGCCTGGTGCAGCAGCCAGCTCCCATCCTCCCCCAGGCATGCCATTGTCCATTATGTGCATGATGCCACATGCCTGCCAACCTTGAGAGGCCGAAGGAGTTAGCAGGGCCTAAGTCACTCAGGGTCCTGAGGTG